GAAAGGAGAAAGAGATGGGGTCCTATCATTCAGAAGTGAGAGAAAACTAAGGCATTTTCATACAACTGAAACCATCTCCTTCTAACATATCCTTGTTGAAAGAACTTTAGGAAGAAGAACAGTGAACCTACAGGAAAGGAGAAAGAGATGGGGTCTTGGGGAGAATGTGAACAAAGATACTGGAGAGAACATTGGTAAATGTAATAGCATAGATTATAAAACTAAAAACAGGGACTTTAAATAGGGGGATTAAAAACAATAACTAAAAAGAACAATTAGGCTGGGCACTGTGCCTCACACCTGTAATCCTAGCACTGTGGGAGTGGATTGCCTGAGCTCATAGGTTTGAGACCAGCCTGAGCAAGAGTCAGACCCTGTCTCTAAAAATAGCTGGACATTGTAGCAAGGACCTATAGTCCCAGCTACTCAGGAGGCTAAGGCAAGAGAGTTGCTTGAGCCCAAGAGTTGGAGGCTGCTATGAGCTGTGATGCCATGGCACTCTACCCAGGGGAACAAAGTGAGAGTCTGCCTCAAGAAAAAAAAAAAGTAAAAGTAAAAAGAACAATCACTGTAGTAGAAGGGGTATGGTGTGATTAAACTAGTATACAAAAAGCTTTCTATTGTTTGAAAGGAGAGTGGAAATAATAATTCATGTCAGACTATATTAAACCAACCAAATGTGTATAAAATTGTAAAAAACAACACCAAAAAGTATAGAAAGGAAGGTTTAATTTTCAAATCAGTAGAAAAAAAAAAGTGAATAAAGAAAACTGAGCAGCGTGGCACCTGTGGCTCAAGGAGTAAGGTGCCAGTCCCATATGCCAGAGGTAGTGGGTTCAAACCCAGCCCTGGCCCCCTCCAAAAAGAAAGAAAACTAAACAATCCAATAAAGGGAAAGAATAGAGAAAAGGTATAGATAAAAATTGGAATAAGTAGAAAGCACAAAAAAGGTGGTAGAAATGAATAAAAATATATTAATAATCACAATAAATGCACATGGACTATTTGCCAATTAAGATGAGACTGTCAGATTGAATTCAACAACAAAATCTAGCTGCATGCCCTTATAGGATACACATCTGAAACATAAATATACAGAAAGTAAGTAAAAGTTAAGTAAAAAGATAGGAAAAGAGATATCAAATACTAGCCAAAAAAAAAAGTTAGTGTAGCTATATCAATCAGCATCAGATAAAATGGATCATAGAAAGTACTATTAAGAGTAGAGTGTTAATAAAATGAATAATTCTCCAGGAAAATATTACAATTCTAAATTTATATGCACATAGCCTCCAAACACATAAAGCAAAATTGTCACAAAGACAGGGAATTGACAAATGCACAATCTTGATAAGAGATTTTAAAGCATCTCTTCAGTAACTTGATAGTTCTGAAGGCAAAAGGAAAAGGTACAGAAGGCATAAAAATATGATCCTTAAGTCTGATTTAATAGCTCTAACTAGATCCCTGCAACAATCATTAGAATATATATGGGAGGGGTAAACATGAAACATTTTCAAACATCTATTGCATACTTAGCTTTGAAGCAAGTCTCCAAAAATTCTAAAAAGTCAATATCACATATTACATTCTCTGCCTATAATCAAAACTCAAAAACAGGCTGAGCCTGGTGGCTCATGCCTGTAATCCTAGCACTCTGGGAGGTTGAGGCAGGTGGATCACTTGAGTTCAGAGGTTGGAAACCAGGCTGAGAAGAACAAGACCCCGTCTCTACTAAAAACAGAAAAATTGGTCACGTGTTGTAGTAGGCACCTGTAGTCCCTGCTACTCAGAAGGCTGAGACTGGAGGATACTTGAATCCAGAAGTTTGAGGTTGCTGTGAGCTAGGCTGACACCACAGCACTCTTGCCTGGGCCACAAAGTGAGACTGTCTCAACACACACACACACACACACACACACACACACAAAACACCCTCAAAAACAAAATGGCAACTTCTATAAAAAGACTTACCTTCAGAAATTTAAAAGTATCTTTAAATAACCTCATGAATGGAAAAATAAATCATAATGGATATCAGAAAATATTTTTAAATTGCGGCCATTTTCTCATGAAGGAGTGGGCACACAATTTACATTTAGGGGAAGCTAGTGATTCATTCAAAAAATAGCTTACTAGTTTACCTAAAGTCAATTCATAGAATGACCAGATAGCCAAAACCAAGTTATGATGAAAGCTATACAACTCAATATCAATTTGCTAAACAATCAATTAGAATTATTGAGAATCTTTTCAAGATGAGTTTTGTCTCCACTCCTGCCTTTGTGTCCAGAGCCACCACATAAACCCAATTCAGAACGTTCTTCAGAACCATTAAGGCACACAGTGGGACTGCACCGTACATGCGGGTCTATGGGGTCAAAGGTGCAACTAAACCTTGGGAGGTAGCAGGTGGCAGGAGGTCTCTCAGTAATTCAAAGAACTGGCCACTCAGCACATTTGATGGTTTCGAACCGCTTTCAGTAACTGATAACCCAGAGTTTGCAACTTGGACTAGTCAGGAAGACATAGAGTGAGTCAAACAGGTGCCAAGACATGTTAATTATCTAGGTCTGTCTTTCTTAGTGAATAGGCTCTTTTAAAAAGTTTTTAAGTTTAAGGGATTTTAAAGTTTAGGACTCCTGAATCAGAGAGTGGGGTGTGGGGAGGAGCACGGAGAAGAAACACTGGGAGGGGCCCACTTCAGCAAGAAAAGGGGCCACTAGCCCTAAGCACTGGCAAGGGACTTACTGCCAGGCACTGTGGCCTATAGAAATCTTAAGATGAGGTGCTGAGCTTTTAAGTTTTCCCTTTCCATCTGGTGAAACCCTTGTGATAGTTTCAAATCCTTGTTCGGTAGATAACACACACACACACACACACACACACACACACACACACATATCTATCCTGTTGTCACTGGGTTGGTCAGTGACCCAGACTGGCTCCCGACCCCCACCTCCAACGCCTTCCTTTGGAGGCAAGGCCAAGTGGTGGCACATCATATCCCGGAGTTCTACAAATATAAGGTGACCAGACGTCCTGCTTTTGGTAGGACCGTCCCCATTTTTAACAATTTGTCCCGTGTCCCCACGGTGTTTTTAAAAAGTCCCGATTTTTGGAAAGAATGCCTGACAAGCTAGGGAACAGCGGGAGAATAGGAACGGAATATAGGGCTGCTGAAACGGTTATTGTAACTCCACTTGGGAATAAAGAGGTTAATGTAACTCCACTTGGGAATAAAGAGGTTAATGTAACTCCATTTGGGAATGAAGAGGTTAATGTAACTTCATTTGGAAATGAAAAGGCTAATATAAACTCCCTACTCCCCTTTTGGGCAAGATATCAGAAGGAGACTGGCTCCCTCCCTTGCTTCTAGGCAAGGACAATTAGCTCAGAAGGAGTCAAACTATCTGGAACAAACAGGTAGCCCCCCCTCTCTAGAGTAAGGTGACCAGACTTCCCGCTTTTGGCGGGACAGTCCCGATTTTTAACAATTTGTCCTGCATTCTGCAGCATTCTAAAAAAGCCCCAATTTTTGAAAAATTTGGAAAGAATTCACCACAAGCTAGGGAACACGGGAGAACAGGAAGGGAATATACGGTTTTCAGCTGCCATGTGGCTATTTCGCCAGGATATGCGTTTTATATTATTTTTGTTAATTTTATAATGTTAAACTTTAATAATAACAAATAATTGTTGAGAACTGATTATTGAGACCTGCTTATCAAAGTTTGCATTGTTGTCAGGCCCCGCCCCCCCCCCCCCCCCCCACGGTGTCCCGCTTTACCAATGTTAAAATCTGGTCACCTTATACAAAGACCAACACTGTACAGCTACACGAGAAAGTCCCTTTTCTAGATGCTCCGTTCCGGAGGAAGAGGGCACTCTGGGCAGCAGGCTTAGGGACTGCGGTTCCAAGCTCAGAGCATCTCCCTTCGCGGGCGCCCTGCTTCCTCTGTCCCACCACACTGCCGTCTGGTAGAGCGGGTTTGGACCCACAGGCCCCTCTTTCTGAGCTGCCCTAACCTGCGGTCTTCCACACAGGACAAGGAGGCTCACTGTGCTCAGCCAGCCCCTCCGCCTGAGTGCACCACTCTCGGATCCTGCAGAACCAGCCATCCACAGGCGGTAGGTGGAGAGTGGTGGGCCCATGCTTAGTTCATTCATTTGAGGCCTACTACATGCCGGGAATGACTGGGGTTCGACAATCAACAAAGCAGACATCAAATAATCACACAAAATATGACACTCTGGTCAATATTGTGGCCAGGGAGCAGGGTGACAGCTCTGAAGACGCGTCGGGGTCTAGCAAGCATGTCCACCACCCAGGCCCAGGCCCTACGCTCCCACTCTGGTCCAGTTTACATGACTGAGGTCTCTGGGAGACGGGTCCCTTTTCCTCTGCGCATCCCCACTTGGTACACGGTACATGCTCAGTAAATGCTGGATACCATAATGAACGACTGCACGCACGGTAGGGCACACAGACAAGCTGGACCAGACAGTCCGGGTGTCCTAGCCTGCCTGCAGCTTTAGGGGCGCTGGGGCGGGGCGGGGCGGGGCGGGGCCAGTGACGGTGACCCGGCAGTCGCCAGGTCGCCTCGCCGCGGCGCATTCTGGGAAATGTAGTCCGCGCCTGCGCCTACCGGGGCGCAGAGGCCCGGGGCTCGGGGCGGAAGTGGGGCCACCCTTTAGGGATGCTAGGCGCGAGAGGCGGGCTCTTCGAGGTGCGGGCGGGCCAGGGAGCGCCTACCCCCGCACATCCCCCACGACCCGGGCCCACGGCCCCCCTTCCTCCCTGGAGGAACTGGGCCGGGGCCAGGGAGCGCCTCCCCCCGCCCCTCCCCCACGACCCGGGCCCACGGCCCCCCTTCCTCCCTGGAGGAACTGGGCCGCAGCCGGGGGTCGCGGCGCGATCTGCTGGCTTGGGGGCGGGTGCCGGCGCCTGGGGCCGCACCGGAAACTGGGCGGGCGGAGGAGTGGCAGGGAGGCTGAGCCCTGGGATGGCGCGCCAGGTAAGGCGGGCTGGGACCCCGCCCCAAGCGCGGGAGGACGCGGGGACTTGTGGGCGCTTTTGCGGGTCCCTGGGCTCAGTGCGAGGCGGCGGTGGCGGCGGAGGCGGCGGGGGCGGGAAGGAGACTGGACCGCCAACTTCGGGATCGGTCCGGCAGGCCTGGTGCACAGGATTTCAGGTCTAGAAGTCCAGGTCTTCAGACCAGTCCTTCCCTTACTGCCTGGGGACACACGACCTGGAGTCTCTCTTCACCCCTCCGTCTGTGTGGCTTCTTTTCATTATAAGTTATCCTGGGAGCGGTGGACACGAAGGCCTCAGGGGAATGAGTGAATGTGATACTTTTATTCTTGATAGAATCCTGGAGCCCGCAGGGTGGGGACGTGGAAATGGGGAGAAATAGAAGATAGAACAGGTCCCAAGTTTTATCCTGGGCAGCCTGCAGGTAAGGTGTATAGATCCCAGAGCTGGAGGGAGGGCCCCACCTGCAGTCATAGGCTGGGCACAGATTGGGCTGAATTGTGTGTGGTCCTGTGAAGATGCCAGGAAACTCTGGAGATGACACCAGTGGGGAGTTGCTGCACGTTTTCCTGGGCGGGCACCTAGAGGGAGCTGGTTCTGCTTTTGTGGTAGCTAGTGGTCTCTGGCTAGCCTCAGGCAGGCATGGATGGGGAGTAGTGAGCCCCCGTGATAGTGACTGGGACAGTGTGTGGCCAGGCATAGCTGCGCCCCCCACCCCCAAGGTCCTCCATAAGCATCTAGGGAGAAGGAGAAACCAGAAAAAAATGGGTTGGCAGTTGTCAGACAGAAATGGTCTCCTTTGCAGTTCTGGTTGTACAGTTAAGCAGCCCAAGGACACTCCTGCTCAGATGTGCCCACTGGCTCCATCCTAGGGTGGCCTCATGGTACAGTTTACTATTCTATAAAATTAAGGGATTGGACCACTGACCTTTCAGATCTGATGTTCAGGGAAGGGTATGTCATCACAATAGGGAAAAGGTCACTAGGAGTGACCTTAGGCACTGGTAGACAGGGCTGCAGTCTTCCTGTCCATTGTGACTCCCCAAAGCCCAGGGCCAACAAGTGGGGGCAGTGAGGGACTTCCTGGTGTAGGGTGGGTTCTAGCGGGGGAGAACAGGCCGGGCTAGGCAGGACTGTGAGAGACCAGTTTTATGCTGGGCCAGTGACACAGTGAAGGAGGTGTTTTAGGAAGACTAGTGCAGCAGCAGTAAGCTACAAGGCTGCCTGTTCCCAGCAGGCCTGATCAGCCCAGAAAGCTTTTCTGAAGCTGGTGGGGGAGGGGGGCAAAGTAGGTCCCTAGGAGGGCGGGGTAGGAAGGGCCAACCTGGGGTGGCTTTTCTCCTCTTGCACACTCACACCTGCTCACTTCTTCCACTTTTTCTGGGCAGAGGGAGGTCACTAATGATGCACCTACCCTAGCCACAGTTAGTTCCCATTCTCATTTTATAAGTACTTTGTCACAGATGGGTTTGTCTTGAGGCTGAGCTGGTGAGAGGCTGAAAAGCATCTCTTGCCATCTCTGGAAGAGTCAGATATATTTAGCCTGGAGCTGAAGAGGCAGTGGAGGTCAGGAGGTGTGTGTGGAAGACTTAGGCAGACAGATCTGGCTGCCAGAGTACTAATTATAGTTCTTAGCCCATCCCAGCACTTGTTCTGGGTGCTTTTCCTATATTAATCTATTTCATCTTCACAACATCTCTGTGAGGTGGCGTGTTGTGACCCCTGTATTATGGATGAGTTTGCTGAGGTACAGATGGGAAGTATAATAGTTTGACTGAGGTCCCATAACCAATATGAAGCAAAGCTTAGCTTTGAGGTCAAGCCCTAACCGTCCTCTGCCCCTGTGTGTCTAAACTTAACAGCCAGATCAGACCAGCAGTGGAACCTGATGTGTAGCAGGTGTCAGCATGTTCTTCCCTGGGGTTCATACCTGCCTTGCCAGCTCTGGGTCGAACTACCAAAAGATAGAGGAAAACTGCACCTGCAAGGCCATCTTAACATGTCTCTACTTACTGGCCCCTTACTGGGGTGTCCTTTGGGTAGAACTTGTTTTGTAAGCACAGAGCCTGACGTTGGTCACAGAGAGATAAATTGGGATATGCCAGTTGCTTACTAACCATGAAAAATATTGCTGACAATCCACCTGGAAATACATGGTGGCTGCTTAAGTCTTTGGCCACCTAAAGTGGAATCTGCTTGGGAAGCCAAATGTTCAGGGACAGTTTCTTGATAGTAGCCCAGAGGTTTGTTCGATAAGCTCCACAGCTGGCACCATGGAACTCAAATGGCTTGACACATCTGTGGTGAATAAGGGGAGCCTGCTGTGCACAGCAAGGCACACTGTCACCTTGGCAAGCCCTGAGGCACCCAGACCTTCTTGCTCTCCCTCTTACTGCCCCTCTCCAGCCTCAGTTTGTGGAACATGGACATTCTCCAGGCTCCTCCTGTTCAGCAGCACATGGTGCTGTTGCCCCAGTTCCAGCTCATCAGTCTCCCTCCAGCCATCCTGAAAGGCAGCCTGCAAGGCTGGGGCTCTTGGGCTCTGTTGTGTTGTGCCATCACTCTGCTCAGTCCTTCATGGCCTCATTGTATCCATGGGGGCAGTCTAACTAGCTTCCAGGCTCTGAGGACGCCTTGTTTTGCCCCAGCGTATTGGCCATAGTGGGAATTTAATAAATATTTGTTGTATGGCTGTAAGGAAAGTCATTGAAGGAATTATAATTTGCTTACCTTTCCCTCCCCCTCCTTTCTCAACTCTAGCAGTGAGATGTGGCGTGTAAATAGAGGGTTCCAACCTTTTTGGCTCTGTGACCCCCCTTTCTTAGTGTACTTAGTGCATTAGGCTGTGGCTTTTTCATGTATTCTAAAATAAACTCCTTATTACTTTTAAAGGACCTATACATTCATCACTACAGCATGTATACATGTTTAAACATAATAATCAAAGCATGTGAGTAAGACGTCCACAGACAGTGGTTGTGCCTGTTTAGCCCCTGGGCCTATTGCAACAAGCCTGAAGCCCTGGGGGCTCTGTAGCCCGTAGATGGGGACTCACTGCCTCTGCCAACCCAGGGCCTCTTTCCTGCTCTACAAGTCCCTGTGTACCCAAGCTCAAGGGTATGACTTGAGAAGTAAGAGGGTATGGTGAGGGGACAAAGCAAGGCAGGTGAGGCCACGGATGCCAGGGGTGGTGATGACTCGCTGGACACAGTGGCAGAGCTAGGACAGGCCTTGTCCATGAGAGCTCCTTGCCTCCCTGCCAGAGGTGCCAGGTGGGGCACACTGAGCTCTCAGAATGCTCAGGACTTGTCGGAGTGTGGTGGGATCCCCAAGAGCATTCCAGGTTCGGAGAGATAGTCAGAAGACTCCCAGCTGAGACTGATGTCTATGAGAGAGCACAAAGCAAGACCAGTGGAGGGAAAAGACATGTGGGGTGACATCTGGGGGAAGCCAGGGGCAGTTTCCCAGGTCCTCTCCCCATGTGGTCATTCCAGGATGCACTTTAATGTCTCCAGCACGGATGGTAACGACACATGTGAGCTATTTAGCTCACTAGAGACTGGGCACCAGCTTTCTACTGGCAACTAGTCACACAGGCACCATCGAATGCCAAGCATGTACCGAGCTTCCAGACTCCTGGAAGGAAAGCAGGAGGTTGGCACACACTACATTGTTAGCCAAATAATGTAGACCCCATGAGCCATTCTCATCGTCTAGGGAACAGTGAGAACTCTGGTGACATCCAAATTCCCAGATAGCAGCCCAGGGCCCTGCTGACAGGTGAGCCTTACTGTAGACCCCAGCGTAGGCCACATTTTCCTGGCTAAAATGCCAAAGAAATGTCATGGCTCTTTGAAAGAAATTTTGAAGGATGCCTAAGGCCATTCCTGAACAGGTGGCTATATCTGAGTCAGAGCCACAAAAGTTAACGTGGAGAGCGTCTTGTAGGGAGCCAGGGATACTAATGCCATGGTGTATGACCACCTATGGGATATGAAAGGATGGCCCTTCAGCAGGTGTGTGGATATAGCTTGGCCAGTTTGGACAGAACATGGAGCCCTGGAGGATCAAGCTGTCAGCTGTCTGAGGGTCATAGGCATCAAGCAAGGCAGTGAGTGAGTAGGAAGACCGCCAGTTAGTGGCAGGGTTAGTTCTTAAAGTCACTGACATGCGTAGATGAAACAAGGCAATGGATTGTCATCTTTTCTTCATCAGGAGTGTCTTCATTTTCTTTATTGATTTGTTCCTACAAATGAATAGTTCAGGATTTGTTTCTAAATCAAAAGGACTCTTCCTGTAATTTACAATGTTTACTTAATTCATACAAAGTTTATTTTTGCCCTAATTTTTAATGTAAGACTGTTAGAAGCTGGTCATTTTCTAGGGTCTGGTGGCTGTTTTAAAATCCACTGAAGGAGCATTTTTAAAGAAACTAAGACAAAAATGTCACTTTTACCTTAAAAGTCCACAGGGTAGCAGGGAATGAATACACAGGATAGAAAATGTGGTGACAGGATGTAGAGGAACCCCGTTGCCCAAAGCAAGGGTGACCCCAGGTTTCTTCTGAGTACGTCTGTAAGAAATGGACACCATGAAACAGACTTGTAGCCTGGGGGCCTGAGTGAGGGGTCACAGCAGGTGGAGAGAGTGGACTATGGCCCAGGGGCTTCTGCTGTGTCCCCTCCTGTGGAGCTTAGTCCCGCTTTCCACAGGGCCCCTGTCTGGGCCTGGTGATAAATGCCACAGGTCATAACAGTGGTAATGACCAAAAGTGGCTTAGGCAGAGTGGCTTTTTGAAGGACAGCAAGACCTGGCAAGTGAAGATAGGCTCAGCCCAGGAAGGGCCTACAGCCTGGCTTGGCCAGCCAGAGGGGCCCTAGACTAGCTGTGGCCATAGGACCGGAGTTTGACGATCAAGGGCACAGATGGGAGCTGGGAGGGTCACCCACCTGCAAGTTCTCCTGTTGACCGTCTGTGCTGGTGAGGGAAGGCCTGTCTTCTCCAGATGAACAAGACTGAGTTCTCTCTCTCTCTCTGGGCTGTACTTGGAGGCACAATATAAAAGTATTGCTTGCTTGATTCCTGATTGTCATATCATCTACAATAAAAGTATGGAATGTTTTTTGTTTCTTTGTTATAATTGGTTTTATTTGTAAACTTTTCTTAATACCACAGTACTAGGGTCCTAGCCCTTGCACATTCAAAGGAAGGTCTACTTATTAACTCAAGCAAATGAATCTCTAACATGGCAGGTGTAGGGCTGGCTGTGGTTCCCATTCAGGGTTGATTTTTGCTTGGGCTAGTGGCCACAGGACATGAGACTATTGAGTTATTAAGTATGAAATGTCCAATTTCCTTAAGTTCTTGTTCTGTTTCAATTGTGAAGGCACATCCTCATTCTTTCAAAGGCACATTTTGGCTTGTGATTATCTTTCAAAATGTTTTTTAAAAGCAATTTTTATGAAACCATGGGTAAGTAAAAAAAAATGTGTTTTTTATTTTTTTTTATATGAATTCCATTGTAGAGCCAGTGCATCCCAGACAGCTTTAAATACCAATGAATGAAGTGTTTGGGAAGGATGTGGCTAATGAACGCCCAGTATGTGGATGGTTTGAGAAGTTTCATTCTGGTGATTTTTTTTTCTTTTCTTTTTTTCTTTTTTTTTTTTTTTTGAGTCAGAATCTCAAAAAAGGTTAGAGTGTCTGGCTCATGGCAACCTCAAAACTCAAGGGATCTTCCTGCCTTAGACTCCTAAGTAGCTGGGCCTAAGGACACCCACCCCAATGCCTGGCTAATTTTTTTTATATGTTTAGCAAAGATGGGGTTCCACTCTTGCTCAGGCTGGTCTCCAACTCTTGAGCTCAAGGGATCTTCTCACCTTGGCTTCCCACAGTGCTGGGATTACAGGCGTGAACCGCCATGTTCAGCCTATGCCAATGATTTTTAATCTTGAAGATGAGCCATGTGGGTGACCTGGGACCAGGGTGGCTAATGATGTTCTGAAAGCTATAGTAGAAGTGAATCCATCTAAACCCATGCACAAATTAGCTGCAAGGTTTGATGTTCGATACTATTCCAACGGTATTAGACTATTTGAAACAAATCATCAAGGTAAAAAAGCTGGTTAGGTTCCGCATGAATTAAATGAGCATCAGAAGAGAAATCATCTCGAAGCTTGCCTTTCTTTATGTCACCACATAACGGTGAACCATTTTTACATTGTACCGTTACGTGTGATGGAAAAATGGATTCTTTTTGACAACTACAAACTTGCAGCACACTGGTTGGATAAAGATGAAATGCTGAAATATAATCCAAAATCGAATATTCACCAGAAAGTGCTAATGCTATCTGGTGGTCAGTGCTGGTATTATCCCCTTCAGCAGCAGTTCTCAACCTGTGGGTCACGACCCCTTTGTAACAATGAAAATACATCTTGCGTATCAGATATTTACATTACGATTCATAACAGTAGCAAAATTACAGTTATGAAATAGTAACGAAAATAATTTTATAGGTGGAGGTCACCACAACATGAGGAACGGTATTAAAGGGTCGCAGCATTAGGAGGCATTAGGAAGGTTGAGAACCACTGCACTATAGCTTCATGAAACCTGGTCAGCCGATTACAGTGATGTCTACTGCATCCAGTTGGATGACATGATGAGGATGCTTGTGATCAAGCAACCTAGTTTGGTCAACAGACAGGCCAATCCTCTTGCAAGACAATGCTCAACTACATGTCACACTGCTCCATCTACAGAAGCTGGACTTGGAAACTCTCTGTTACCCACCATATTCATCAGACCTTGCACCAACTGACTGCCACTTCTTCCAGGCTTTGGACCACTTCTTGCAAGGAAAACTATTCAGTTCTCAACAAGCTGTGGAAAACTTCTTTTGCAATTTCATCACCACTTGCTCTCTAGCGTCTTCACTGCTGGCATAAACCAGCTATTGTTAAGGTGGCAAAACTGTGCTGGTAGTTCAGGTGCTTACTTTGATTAGTTGTACTGCTACTTGTTTAAGACAAAATAAACGAAACTTTTGATTTGAAATCAGACATTTTATATTTGATGACCTAATAGTTTCCGTATTAAACACAATACATAAACCAGGAGACTTAAAACATAGAAGCTTATTCTCTCACAGTTCTGGAGGCTGAAAGCCCAAAATCAAGCAGTGGGCAGGGCCACTCCCCCTTGAAGGTTCCAGGGCACGACCCTCCCTGCCTGTTCCAGCTTTTGGTGACCCCATGTATTCCTTGGCTTATAGCTGCATTCCTTGAATCTCCACCACTGTCTTCACACAGCCTTTTTCTCCCTGGGCATCTGTCCCTGTGTCTTGTCTTCTTATAAGGGCACTAGTCATACTGGATTAAGGAACCCACCCTGCTATGCTTAGGACTTTATCTCAACTGATTACATTTGCAGCAACCCTCTTTCCAAATAGGGTCACATGCACTCGTGTGGTCATTAGGATGGCAGCATATCTCTTGTGGGCACAGCTTGGCCCCCAGCAGTGTCTGGAGCAGAGTCCTGTTCCTGCATGTCCCCTGCCCCACCTTTGCTGCTTTTGAACTCTCCAGCATGAGCCTAGAGACATGGGCAGGGTGACCATGTAATGGGACTACTGGGCTGGGCCTCTCTGGGATGGAACCAACCAACCCCTGAGACTGTGCCCACAGGTGTCCATCACCTTCAAGGACTTGGCTGTGCGGTTCTCAGAGGAAGAGTGGCGGCTTCTGGAGGAGGGGCAGAGGGAGTTCTACCGAGACGTGATGCGGGAGAACTATGAGACGTTGGTCTCCGTGGGTAAGGAGGGCAGGAGGCAGGGGCCAGATGGAAGGTGGGAGGCAGGCTGGCATCCTGGACCCAGGGGGCCTTGGTCTTTCTAACTATGAAATGAATGTGGTTCTAGCTGGGGGCTGGACTGGGGCCTCACCTGATCTTTGTGTCACTGCTCATGTCTCTGGGTACCAACACAGGATTCCAGGTATAGTTCAGTGGGCTGCAGGGTGGCCTCTGAGGTTCTGATCACCCACAGTTGGGCTTGGGTGACACATGAACTGCATGTGAACATGTGCACAGACAAGCAGGTGCCTGGGTTGGTGCACATGGCTGTGTGGGAGGTGGAGAGTGCTGCATTCCCAGGGTGACTATCCTTTCTTTCCCAGGGACAGCTGAGCTACTCCCCCTCTCTGCTTTCCTGTCACCTACAGAGCCTGCAGGAGCCTCAGGGCTAGGGGGCTGCACTGCTGAGGGTCTGGAGCCTGCAGGTGGGGGTGGCCCCCAAGGTGAGTCATCTTTGCAGGCTTTGGAAACCCCTCCCACTCACAGGCAGTCCCAGGCCCCCTTCTCAACTGGCTCAGACCAGCCCTCTCCACCTCATCATACTCCCGTGCCCCAGCCCTCCCTGACTGTGCCCCTCACCCCCCCGGGACTGGGAACTTGTTACACAGAGAAGCACTCAAAGGAATCCTAGGGTCACCTGAAGAGTGCCCCCTGCCTCAGACCACCTTCCTGCCACCACCCTGAAGCTTTATCCCAGTCACCCCTGCAGAGTCAGGCTGGAGCTCTCAGAGCCATGTTGTGATAGTAACATGGTCCACAGGGTCCAGGCGGGGTGAGGCCAGGTGTTACAGCATGTGGGAAAGGCAGAGGGCCCGTACAGTAAGGGGTGAGCTTGGAGGTGGCCCTTGGTATTGCCCTGGCAGGGAAAGAGATGGGAATAAGAGAGGGAACAGCAGCAGAGTGACAGGAGCCCTGTTGCCCAAACCCCATGCCCCTGCTCTGATTGTGCCCAAGTCCTATATGTCTCACAGGACATGGGTCTCTCCTCTGGCTGCTCCTGCTGTGGTCAGGGGATTATGTGAGACGCTGGGTATGAAACACACAAAAGCATGAGTACCATGCAGACACAGGGCATATGGTCATGGTGGCTTCTCCACAGGAGGACAGCCCCAGCACAGCCTGCACCTCACTGCCCTGGTGCAGCTGGTGAAGGAGATTCCAGAGTTCCTGTTTGGGGAAGTCAGGGGAGCTGCAAACAGCCCTGAGAGTGGGGGAGCCAGCCTGGATGGAGAGAGAGCGAGCCCTGAGGGTAGGTCAAACTGTGGGGCAGCTTCTGCCATGCACATGGCCTTCTCTACTCCACAAGGTGAAGTGCAAGTCTCCAGCACCATGTTGGTAGATCTGCCTGCCCTCCTATCCCAGGCATGAGCAGGGAGGCAAAGTCACGGCCAGCCCCTTGCTGCCCAGCTGTGTGCCTGCCCTCTGAGCCTGGGGCACAGTCAGCAAGAGAGCAGGTCTGACTTCCACAGTGGTTTCAATGTGTCTCACACCCTCTCACCTGCTGCTCTGCGTGGTAGGTGAGCCCAGTGCCTTTGTTCCTGTTTTACTGTTGAGGAAGCTGTGCTATGTTGGAGTGGCCAGTAGGGACCACTGCTCCTTCCAGGTCCGTGTCCTTTTCACCTCACCAGACTTTCCTTTCCCTAGTCCCTGCTCACCTACTCTCAGTCAGGTCCCACATCCCCTGGAATCTGCCCCTTTGTAGCCCCACATACTGGTGACAAGTGAGATAGGAAGTGGGGGCAGGAAGGAGAGGATGGTGCAGAGTTGTGGGGTGTGACTTTGGAGCTGCTGCTCGAATTTCCTCAGGGTACAGCCGGAAACCTAAGTTTCAGAGCTCTGTGATGGCTGTATGGGTTACTGCCATCCTGGTCATTGTTAGCAGAACATGGCAAGGAAGGACCTGGACTGTGACAATGTCAGGACATCTTCCTCTTACCGGTTGTTGGTGTCTTCTGCCTCCACACCTGCAGCACCCGCAGCGGTGGAGCCTTGCCCTCTCCGAGGTCTGCTCAGCTGCCTTCCAGACGTCTCCGTCAGCCAACCCAGCCTGGCCTCCACACCCACCAGCAGCTCATGCTCCAGCAGCCCACCCACAGAAGGGGAAGAGGGAAGCCCTCTCCCCATCAGTGAGTCTGACCCTGTGCCATTTTTCTAGGACTCATTTCCTCTGTTGTAAAATGGGGGCAAAGTACCCTAGGGAGCAGAATAGTATGCTCAGCCTCTGGCCTGTACAGCAAACAAAGAAGAAGCGTGATGCTCCGTCTCCAGGCAGCTTTCACCCAGCCTTGACCACTAAGTACTGTGTGACATGCACAGAAAGCCGCAGGTGGTTTCTGACTTGCAGGCCCTTTGGCAAATAATGTACCTGTATGTACCTGGTCTGGTTCTTAGACCTTGTCAAAGCAACCCTAGTAGCAGAGGAGGGCAAGGGTAGCCACTAGAATTTCTCTGGGGCCTCATTTTATTTTTAAAAAACTCCTGTAAATTTTGCATTTGTGTGAGTATCTTTATTAAAAATATTTTTACTAGGGTCGGCGCCTGTGGCTCAAGTGGCTAAGGCGCCAGCCACATACACCTAAGGTGGTGGGTTGGAATCCAGCCGGGCCCGTCAAACAGCAATGACGGCTGCAACTGAAAAATAGCCGGGCATTGTGGGCGCCAGTGGTCCCAGCCGGTGGGCGCCAGTGGTCCCAGCTACTTGGGAGGCTGAGGCAGGAGACTCACTTGAGCCTAGGAGTTGGAAGTTGCTGTGAGCTGTGATGCTACAGCACTCTACCCAGCGGGACAGCTTGAGGCTCTGTTTCAAAAAAAAATAAAAAAATTTTTACTAAAAATATTTTGAATTAGTATGTAATAAAATTGGTACTCCTAAAAAATATACCCCATGTAGCTGTCGTTATAGGTGTCATCTGGTACATTTGCTCTGGGTTCCCACCTGCCTTGGTTTGGGATTTTATATCAAGGCTGCCAGCTTCACTTGCTGAGCCAAATTTAGAGGCTAGGGATGGGGAAAGGCCTAGGGGTATTCATAGTGAATAAATAGCCTAGGTACTTACAGTGAAACCAGAAGGAAACAGGGAAAGCCCTAGCCCTCTCGGGACAAGTCCTTTGAAGCTGGCCCCTTCACCAGTCTGAATTCTAGGACTTGGCTGTTCTCCAGGGACTTGGGGAGGTAGAGGGGCCTGTCCTCTGTGGGGAACAGATCTGAGCTGATCTCCCAGAGTCTGGACAAGGAAGAAGGGCCTCCCTTGTCTTTTCCTACAGCAGCAACTGTGGACAAACCGTGGCCTACAGGGAAGGCAGGCCCCAGAGCCCCAGGTAGGGAGCCCAGCCCACCTGTCTGGAGCCCTGGTAGGAGGAAAAGCCCCAGAGGACAAGAGAGAGGGACCTCGGGAGCAGGTGAGAGGCTGGCTTTCCTGAGGGATCTTCCCTGGCACTGAGAGAGCTGACAATGGGGGGGGGGGGGACACATGTAGTTCATGTTAGGGGGTCTGTCACTCCCCATCTGGGCCTCATCTCCTTTCTCATGGGTGAGACTATCAGCACCCAGAGACCTGAGTGACTGCTGACAGCTTCCCACCTGCCCCGCTGGGATGACCTCAGCTACCTCCTGTGTTACAGGGCTCTCTCCCGGGAACAGCCCTTTGCAAGGCCTCATCAACTGTCTGAAAGAAATTCTCGTGCCTGGACCCCAGCACCCCGGGGCACCCCTGAACTCGCTGCCTCCTCTTCCTGGCCTGGGCACATCAAAGCTGACCAGCATGGACCTGGGACCTGGGAGACCACCTCAGGAAGGTGAGTCCTAGGGACCTGGTCTCCTTGAGCCAAGGTCTCTGGAGCCCCCTGAAAGCTGAGTTGCCTTTCTACAGCTGTTCTCTTGCTCCCAAATGTCCCCCATAGAGGACATTACCAACTTGGCCCCTCCTGTCCAGTCAGTGTCATATTTCTGAAGGCAGGTGACTCTCTGTAGGACAGCATTTGGTTAGCTAGAAGAAGAAAACTCTGAAACAGACTCTGCCCTGGTTTCCTGTGTGTTCTTTTGTTCTTTACTGTGCCTGCCATTGGTCTCTGTGGGGAGAATAGGGTGTCACTTCATCTGGACACTAGCCGAGATGCTGGGGTGGGTGTGGGGACCAAACTCCTGTCTCAGGGTGAGACTCTGAAAGACCCCTAACCCTGTGAACCTTGGTTTCCTCATCTGTGAAGGGGGTAGCTGTTACCCCATAGGGTTGTAATGAGCTTGACTACGACACTGTACTTGTCTTCTGAGTGTGTGTGTCCTTCCTCAAGTGCAAGCCCTGCTCAGGACCCTGAGAGCTGTTTCTGGTAGCCCTTCTATCAGCCCACCTCCCTGTTGACATAATCCCACGTGATTGCCGGTAGTGTGAAATTCGTGTCTTCCCTTCTTTCTCCGTCAGCTCTGGCAGATGTGTAGACAGGCATTTTTAAACTGAAACTAGGAAGACAGTGGCTCATACAAGCCTAACTGAGTAACAAGAAGACCCACACCCCCAGATTCTGGCTGTGCCCTTCTAACTGCACACCTGGAATGTCCCCTATTTGTTGTGTATCATGATGACTGAGGACACTGTGCTCAAGGTGAAAATCCATCCCTTTTTCCTTTAGTGAAGACAGAGGTGGCTTCAGGGGATTGTCCTCTCCAGGGTCTGCTGAACTGTCTGAAGGAGATTCCAGAAGCCCGGGATAGGCACCCTAGCACTCCAGCTGTAGAGGATCAATGGCCGCAGGAGGATCTAGGGGCCTGGAAAAGGGATTCTGGAGGTAAAAGCTGCCCACTGGGCTGGGAGGGCCCCCAGAAGTCTTCTGTGTCCTTTCCCTGCTTCTGATTGGGCTGTGGGTAGCCATCCACTGTAGACATTCAGGCTCATGTCAGCATGTCGGGCAGGTAACTGTACCCACACCAGTGACTGCCGTGGAGGCAGAGGGAGGCAGAGGGACCTTGGAAGCACCTCAGCCCTATGCAGGCCTTACAGGACTCTCAGGGTGGGTCCAGGCCTGGCTTCCTAGTGGCCCCCTCCTTCCTGCAGGGTCAGGACACCTCCTACGCCCTGCTGCCTGCCCTGGTCTGGGAGCCAGTGGGCTGCTCTCTGTGAAAGTGGAGGGCAGCTGGGCCCAGAGCCCTCCGGTGCCCGCATTCTGTCGGCCCAGCAGACAGACCCTCAGCCCCTCTGCTACTGGAGACACCAGAAGGGTCCCAGGGCCCAGCTGGCACCCTCAGGCTCAAGGTGAGGTTGGGAGTAGTCTGCCCTGTCTGCCTGGTGGGATTCTCAGTCCCAGACCAGTTTCTGCCCAGGGAAGCGGGGCCTACTTTCCTTCAGAGCTGTGAATCCCTTAGTCCATGCTCCCTGAGCCAGGCCAGGCCCCTATCAATCAGGACCTTCATTTCACAGTGGTTTCCTGGCTGAGGAAGTTGCCACTGCTTATGTGTGGATCTCCCCACCCTCCTTTCCTCATTCCTCATTTCTCTGGGATAGCCAGGAGCAGATCAGAAGTCCCCTCCCCCCACAGATGGGTTTCCTGCTTGGTAGTCCTCACAGTCTGGTCCAGGACCCATCACCCCTGCAGGAAGCAGGTCAGGGCAGCCAGTTGGTGGGGGCCTGATGGGCAGGGCTGGGACATGCTGGAGATGGTGACAAGTGACCTCTCCTGTCCTAGCTGCCAGTGCCTCAAGCTCACCACTGGAAGCCCTGGAGGCCTGTCTGAAGGGCATCCCCCTGAGTGGGTCGTTACCTCCCCAGCCACTGGCTACCTCTTGGTCCCAGAGTCCCCAGCCAGGAGACCCTCGATCCCAGCGACCTGAGCTGCAGCCCTACGGATCACACAGTGGAGGTAGTCTGTGGCCGTGGATGTGGGGTGGCATGCACCCCTGTGTGCAGCATGCAAGGGAGACACTGAGGGCACATGGGTCATCTTCCTCCTGGGCCTTCTGAGGCACAGGCCTTCGTTCCCCAGCCCCTCTTGTGCCCACCCTCACCCACAGCAATTCTGAAATTTAGTGAAAACCAGCGAGAATCTTCCTGCCTGCTTCCTTCTCTTCCAACTCTTACCTCTCCTATCACATGAGACTAATTGTGGGCTAACTTGGGTTCATGTGCTATGCTGCAGAGCCCCAGTGGACCATCTTAGGGCCAGGGTCTTCTGGTGCCCACCCACACAGGGCCCAGGGACTCCCTGGTAGGCCCTCCTGTGACCCCAACTGTGCTGTTCCCTACAGGGGCAGCCAGGGAACCTCCTCTGCCTCTGGGCTGTGTGAGAGGGGGCTCAGCACGACACCCAGGCACCCGACACACACCCTCCAGCTTCTCCTCCTCCAGCAGCACCGATGGGGACCTAGATTTTGGGAGCCCTGTGGGAAGCCAAGTGCAACGGCCTGGAAAAGGTGAGCAGGGCTGGCATGAGGCTGGAAATCATCCTGGGCAATGATGTGAGGGCTCCCAGCCCATTGTCATCTCTAGCGCCTCCAAGTTGGGCCACTGTACCAGTGCTAGGAGCAGAACTGGGGACACTGAGGCAGGATCAGATGCAGCCCGAGCAGGGCCACCTGAGGGCAGGACTGACAGATGTTTGAGGCCAGGTCTGCATCCAGAACTCTAAACTACACAGCACATCCATGCTCTGTACCTCTTCCCACGGCGCCCACTACACTGGACACAGCAGAAAGGTGATGCCCCTGGCGTCTGCACAGACCCAGCTACACTTCCTAGTCCTGGATGTTTGGTCTTCACAGGAAGCCCAGCAGGAAGCTCCCCGCTCCAGGGTCTAGAGAACTGTCTCAAAGAGATTCCTGTGCCCAGGCTGCAACCTGCCTGGTCCTGCTCCTCAGCAGCAGATGGGGGGTCGAGGAGAGCAGAGCCTGGGAGTTGGACAGCAGACAAGGAAGGTAACATAGTGGCTGTCATGGATGCCTGGGAATAAGATGTGGTAGCTCCACACTGCCATCCTGGGACTGCTGCCAGCAGGCTCAGAGCCACACCAGAACCAAGGCGGTGCCCTGAGCCAGGCCTAAGCAGGGACGGGTAAGGGCCAGAAAGTTAGGTGATGTCCTCAGCATACACACAGACATGCTGCATCAGAGGGATGGGTAGATTCCAGGACAGGGATATCTAGTGCCACTGTCTGCTATTTTCACAGTCCAGGCCTAAGCCAGAGCCTCGTAAGCCAGGTGTCTTCATCCTGGCTATGTTGGCCCCATGTGCCATGGTGACTGTGTCTGGGGATAGAACTTGAGATGTGGGTGGCTTCTGGGGACATCTCAGGACAGGTACTCCCCATACGTGAAGCTTGTGTGTCTGAGGGCTCAGCAGTGGCAGAAATTGTTCCTTGTCCAGCTCTGCCAGCATGAGGCCCTGCAAGGCTGACAGGTCTCTTGCCTTCTGATTAAAGCAGGACTACGGGGTGAGGCCCACGAGCCAGCTCGTCTCGGGCAAAGTCGGGGAGAAGTGCATACCAGGACCCCTCGTCTGGCCAATCCAGAGGCGTTTGCCTCCAGCTGTGTCCCCACCTGCCACCAGCGGGGGCTAAGAAACCTTGGGGCCACCAGGCCAGAAGCATGGAGGTGGCTCCAAGATGGTGAGCTGACATCTGCCCTCAGTGCTGGCCAGCCATTTCCCAGTGGCTGAGATGCCCAAAGAGGAGATGGATTCCCCTGCCTCTCTGTCCCTCTCTTCCTTGCCTGTGCCATTTTCCTCAAAAGATGGAACCTAGAGCCAGACAAAAGCAGAGGTGTGCTAAAAAGGAAGTAGGAGGGCAAAAGTCTATATTTATGTCCCTCCATTGGGTTTCCCCAGTATGGAAGCTTCCTGGGACGCAGCGGCCTTCTGCCAACTGCTGCTGCTCAGTGCAACTTCCACAGAACCTTACAGGCCTGCTGCAGGGCCAGCAGGCAGCTGAGCTGAGTCCACGGGTTTAGCAAAGCCTCCCTCCTGGCGAGGGCAGCCCCTCTAAACCTCTGCTCTGGGACTATGGGCCCTGCCTAAGGCTGGTAGAAGAGGCAGCTGGGTTTTTAAGACCTGAAACCTGACTGCTAGTGGCTTCCAGGGACTTGAGACTTCCAGAAAGTTCTTCAGTCGACTTTCCTGAGTGGCTGGGGTCCTGACCCAGCTCTCGCTTCACTTCTCTCCACCATCCATGGCCAGAATGAGCTGTTGAAGGACCCGCGGAGCTCATGCTGGGTGTGGACTGAGCTGAGAGAGGAGCAGTTCTTTGACCCTGGTCACTGAGACCAAGGCCTCCTCTTTGACTTGGACTGAGGACAGGGCTCTCTTGTCATTTTCCCAGGGCCAGCCACTAAGCCCTCCCCACTGCACTGCCTAGAGAGCTCCCTGAGAGGGATCTTGCCCACAAGGCCCTTGCACTTTGCCTGCTTGGCTGGCCCCGACCCCAGCCCCAGCCCTGGCTCCAGCTCAAGCTTCAGCAGCTCTGAAGGAGAAGACCTGAGGCCTGAGCCCACACTCTGGCAGCCACACCTCCAAGGTAAGCCTATGGGCAGGCAGGGAGGATGGTGGTCTGCGGCCCAGGGCATGGGCACCACTCTGATGCTAGCTTTGTGATGCCAGAGAGGGACTGCCTTCCCAGCTCCAAGTGTCCTGTCCCTCAGTCCTCGTGCCCTGGCGGATCTTCCACTAGCAGCAGCAGCAGGAGCCCTGGTGAAGACTCCAGAAGAACAGAGCCTGGGGGGTGCAGCATTCTCAATGCAGGTGAGCCAGGGTCTCCTCAGAGGGCAACTGCGTGTCATCCCTCTGCGGGCCAGGAGTCTAGCCTGGATCCTCTGAATCCCACTGTCACTTTCCCTGGCTCTTGCCAGAAAATCCTCTCCATTTGTCATGCTTCAGTTCCCAGTAAGGTGAGTTGTGTCGGTGAGGGAGGGCCTGGGTCTCACATGGACTTGAGGTGATCCAGGCAACTGTGTGTACACAGGCACAGTCTGTATACTTGCTGATATGTACACATGGATACAGGCAGATAAGGGGTGTGTATACAATAATAGTGTATATTTTTAAAACTTGGCAGTTATTTAAAAAAAGTCTTAAAAGTGAGATTTCCTCACTGGGAAGGACTTATTGGAGATTGTTCAGGAAGGCCAGAAACGCTGCCTGCTGCCCTAGGCTGCCTCTCTTCTTTGTCAAGCTGTGAGCCAGTATTTGCCTCCAGCAGGGAGAAAGGAGAGGAAATAGGAAGGAGAGAAGAAGAGCCCCATCAGCAGTGCAGTGGAGGAGGGGAGGCAGGGCAGGGAGTACCCGCTTCCCACTCTTGCCACTGGCACCATGCACTCTTGGCCTTGCCTCAAGCAGGCCCTGGGCTGCACCTCATTGCTCACTGCCCAGTGGGCCTAGCAGAAAACAGCAGGAATGGATCAGGCCTGGACCATAGGACACCCCAGCATGTGCTTGGAGGAGACTCAGGGGTAGACTTTGCAGGTAGGAGCCCCCTCCACCTCCTTTCCCCAGCTGTTGCCTCCTGCTGGAGCCTGAGGTGCGATGCTGGAGACTCAGGAGGAGCCCAGCACACCCACCTCTGCAGATAGGGCACTATGTACACACATCACAGCGAGCCTTCGACCAGGGTTAGGCTTTTTGACAGGCCTTGTGCGTTTGGTTCTGCGTCTCATTTAATCTTTGTTTAAGAGGTAAAAGTTTAGGTTGTGCACAGTGGCTCATGCCTATACTCCTAGCACTCTGGGAGGCCAAGGCAGGCAGATTGCTTGAGCTCAGGAGTTTGAGACCAGCCTGCAAAAGAGTGAGACCCTATCTCTACTAAAAATAGAAAAACTAGCCAGGCATTGTGCAGGGAGGCACCAGCTACTAAGGAAGCTGAGGCAGGAGAATCACTTGAGCCCAGGAGTTTGAGGTTGCTATGAGCTGTGATGACCTCATTGCACTCTAGTCTGGGTGACAAAGTAACACTCTGTCTCAAAAAAAAAAAGGGCAGCGCCTGTGGCTCAAGGGAGTAAGTCGCCAGCCCCATTTTCTGGAGGTGGTGGGTTCAAACCCAACCCTGGCCAAAAAAAAAAAAAAAGAAAGTTGTAAGTTTGATACTGTTTTAGGCTCCATCAGATTATCCTCTCACTGATAGGTGCTGTATCCCATGTGCTCTGTGCTCTGTCTGTAGGGGCGGCTAGAGAGCTCTGCCCTGCCCCTCAGCTGGAGAGGAGGCCTGAGCCCAGGGTTGGTGAAGCATCCAAGGGCCTAGAGCCTGGACAAGGAAGACCCAGAGTTGCAGGTAAACTGGTGACTCCACGACCCCTCTGTAGACCAGGACCTGGGGTCCCAGCTTGGGAAACACTCTTCCAAGTTTATTGTTTTGGTCATGAGAAGGAAAAGTCTCATCTTTAAGCCATTTCAGGTTGTATCTTTCATGTAATGTTTTATTACAGAAATAGCTGAGTTTTCATAAATATACACAGACACAGCTTTTAGAGGCAGAAATTGAGAAATGTTCCAGAATCAGTTTGGTTTTGAGAACTTTAGAGAGCAAATGGGGAAACTGAACCTCAGTACTGTCCAAGGCTTTCAGAGAGGTTGAGCTCCATGTCCTACCTCCTCACTCTGAGGACCTGCAGGGGAGACACATAAGTGGATATGGCACCCAGTGGCCTGGGTCCCTTGGGGCAGCCTCAAACCAGGGTCCTGACTACCCCTGGTCCCCTTGCTGGCTTGGGGCTTTGTTAAGAGCTCTGAGCTGACCCAAGGGGAGAGAGCCCAGACAGGGTCTGCAGCCCTCAGCTTGGATCCTTGCTTGAGGCACATGACCAGATAGTGCTCAGGTCCTTTGGCCACTCCAGTCTTCACTCTCTCCTCTGGGTGAAGCCCTAGAGGTGATGAAAAGAGAAGGGAAGGGCCATAGCTGGGGGTTCAGAGAGATGGGGGAGGGCTGATCTCAGTGCCCGCTCAGGGCTAAACAGGTTAGAAATAACATGTGTGGAGCCAAGCCTTTCTCATGAGGCTTGCCTGGGCTGGAAGTAGTTCCAAGGGAATTTGGCATTGAGGATTAGGTGATGCTTTTTGGAGTAATTTAAAATGTACAATCCTAGGAAACTGTGACTTCTGAATAGAGAGGGTATAGGCAGGAGGGAATGAGAACCCTTGTGGTTTGCCTGTATCCAAGAGCTCAATGCTGAAGTGGCCTCAGGGTTGCCCCTTGAGATATGCCCAGGAGGCCCTTGGATGTACCCCTATCCCCTACTCCAGTCTCCTACTGCTGCCATGGCCTTGGTTTCATATTGTCTGGGATGGGGGCTCTAGACCCTTCTCCCTGACTCCTATGGCAGGGTTTGATGCTCTGGGGTGCCATTAGGTCCCAGTGGCTTCCCAAAGAACCCACTGATTATTTCCTGAGAAGATGGGAGGACCATAATCATAGGAACACTTGGTTACTATGGAAATCCACCTGTGGCTGACCCTGCCCATCAGTTTGGGAAATAGTCAGGAGACAGTGGCAATTTTGATGTAATAATGACCACTGCCATCAATATTTTCAAGCCTAAGTTACCTTCCTTACCTTCTAGAAGCCAAACCTTGGCGAGGCCAGGATGCTGAACACCCCAATTCAAGGGATCTGTGGGGGGAGAGAAAGGTTCTTACAATCAAGAGCTCTTACCTGTCCCTGCTCTGGTTTTAGCCAGGACCCATGGTGAGCTGCCCCCCACGGGTCTGCTGGAGCTGCCCAGTGAGTCTCCACCATTGCAGCTGCTCCCTCCAGCCACTGCATCTCCTGCTTTGCCATCTGCCTCCCCACGGCTGCCGTGCCCCTGCGGGAGGCCACTACAACAAGAGCTGCACAGCCTGGGTGCTGCCCTTGCAGAGAAGCTGGACCAGCTTGCTGGGGCCCTGGCAGGCTTAGCTCAGGAAGTAGCCACCATGAGGACCCAGGTGAACCGTCTGGGGAGGCGTCCACAAGGCCCTGGGCTAAAGAGCCAAGCTTCTTGGCCATGGACCCTGCCCCGGGGCCCTCGCTGGGCTAACAGCCCTGGTCACAGACACCTGCCCTACTGGAGACTGAAAGGCCCTGCCAGGCCTAAACCAAAGATCTTGCGGGGGCAGGTGGAAGCCTGCAGGGCTGGTAGCTCCCGGGGGCTCTCCAGAGGAAGAGTCCGCCTGGTACCTCAGATACCTCCAGACACCACCCCAGCAGAACTTTCTGGACCCAACTGCAGCCCTTCCCATCTTTCAGCACGCAGCTGCCACACTATGCCGACTGGGTACCCTCCACTTGCACATGCCATGGGCTGCCAGAGCCCCCTCCCCCCTTTAGTGCCCGCTGCCTTATCTGCCCTGACGGGCTTTCCTGCAGCCGGCACAGGTATAGAGCCACCAGCTGCAGCAGTGGCACCAGCCGGGATCCTGAACCAGCCCAAGGAGCCAAACAGCCTGTTGGGAGGAGTCCAGAGAACCCCCCAGGAAGACCTCTGGGGTGGTGAACACAGGGACCCACAGTGGGGGGCTCATTAACTGCAGTCCTCATCTGCTCAGCCTTGGTGTAGGAGAGCCCCAGGCCCCATCACCTTACCCTGGCCGCCCTCTCCTAGGGATGCTGTCTCTCTCTCCATCTGCTTACTGGCCCTTTCTACTGCTCCGTCCTTTGCTCTGCACCAGGTCCTCGGGTCTGTTTGCTCCTCAGCCACACTCTGGGTCTGGCTTAGGTTGCATCAAACCTTGATCCCCTCCCCTCCTGCACTAGAGCTGCCTGAGCCCACAGTGCATGATCTGTGCACCTGTGTGAGTTCTGCACGTGCACTGGGCACTCTATGCAGAGGCATAGTGGCCTTGGGCGCTCTTTTCCCAACCATCTCCTATTCCTAACTAGGGCACTTCCAGAGACTGGGCCCCTGCCCTGGAGTAAATACTGGCAGGTTTCATTTGGGGAGCACTCTACTTCCAGTCTAAGGTAGATTTGCCCATGTGGATTCTAAAATTAAAGAAGTGAGTTGCTAAGGAAAGGCCCCTTGGGTCCTCTTGAGAAGCATGTGGTGGGGGCCCACTTGGGTGTGGTCAGTCAGGTCATGCTACCAGCAGCATAGCCAGGTCAGCCTGTGCTACCTTCCCACCCAGACATCCTCCAGAAAATCCAACAATGTGCCTGTAAGATTAGGGAGAGAGGCTGAGCTCAGTGGCTCATGCCTGTAATCCTAGTACTCTGGGAGGCCAGGATGGGCAGATTGCTTGAACTCATGAGTTCAAGACCAGCCTGTGCAAGAGCGAGATCTTGTCTCTAAAAAATTAGCTGGGTGTTGTAGTGAGTGCCTAAAGTCCCAGCTACTCAGGAGGCTAAAGCAAGATAATCAATCCAAGAGTTTGAGGTTGCTATGAGCTACGACACCACGGTTCTCTACCCAGGGTGACAAAGTGAGAGTCTGTATAAAAAAAAAAAAAAAGATTGGGGGAGTCACTGGGTAATAGGATTCCAAATGCCCCTTCAGTGAGGAGTTGCATGCCCTGCATCAGTCTCCTAGGGCTGCCACTGTCCAGCAGCTAAAACCATGGGCATTTATCATCTTTCAGTTCTGGAAGCCAGAGTCGGGTGTCCAGGTGCTATTGGGGTTAGTTCCTTCTGCTGGCCATGAGGGAGGCTCTGCCCGTGGCCTGTCTCCCTGGCTGAGGATGATTGTCTCCATGTTCACACAGCATCTTCTTCACACCTGTCTCCAAATTTCCCCCTTGTATCAGGATTCCAGTCATGTTGGATTATGGCTCACCCCAATGAGTTCCCTGGAACTTGATTCCTTCTCTAAAAATCCCCTCTTCAAGTAAGGTCTCATTCTGTGAACCTTGGGGTTAGGACTTGACCATATAAATTTGGGGAGGGACATGGTGCTGCCTGCAACACACATAAAGGGCTGGGCCAGTCTTCCTTGGTTTTTCTTATGAAGACATGACCAGGTGTCAGCAGGCCCACATCTGTCCTGGTAGCTGGACCGTGTCTGCCCCTCGGCTCATACTTGGCCATGTGCTGGAACCCACATGCCTGTCATCTGATCACCTCAAGTCATTCCTCAGAGCCAGAGTGGGCCCAACTTCCCTGAGAGGTGCTGCAGCCCAGTGTGTCCCTAAAATCAGGGACACTGGTGTCACTCACAGGGCCTGAGTACCCCTCAGCTGAGGAAGGGACAGACAGCCTTGCCTCAGGCTTGGAGCTGAAGGCCTCTTTGCTGCCCCTATGGAAGAAACAGACTATTTACACAATGGAATGGGGAGCAGCTAGGGGCAGACTGTCACAAAGGGGCATTACGATGATTTCAGCAATAGAGTAAGACTCAAGATGACTAGAAACGAATACTCCTAACATCATACAAGTTGAATATTTAAAATAAGCAGGCTCTTCACTCATAGCCATGCTTGATAATGAAGAACAGGAAAGTGCTAGGCTCTCCCCCACTGAAGAAGTCAGGAAGATGAGTCCAGAGGGGATCAGTGCTGGGCACATTTCAGAGGCTGTGGAAAGGGGGGTGGGTCACAGACTTGCAGAGGTTACAGAGAACCCCACCATGCCTCATGTCCCACAGGAGGATTCTGCCCACCCCTGCCTGGCCCTCCCTGCTCCCATCCTGCCTGACTCTACCCCCATTCTCTGTCCTTTTGTTTCTGAGTCCCTCGACAGGAAGCAGGCCACTTTGCTGTGGCCTGTCAAGGTGGTTTAGCTTCACTGGCTTTACAAAGAGCTCATCTGTCCACAAGCAGGTGTCAGTGGACAGATGAGCTCTGCAGCCCTAAGTAACTTGCTCACAGTTCCTTTGACTCAGGATCCTCTCCTGGGCACAACTACTCCCAGCCTTTGCCCACAGTGATGGACAAGGATATTCAGGACTAAGCCTGATCCACTCTGGCTTCACAGTAAATTTAAAGGAATATGGAATATAATAAATGGTGAGAAGTTCCGTGACTCACAGCTGCATTCCTCATGCAGGTCTCTAGGTCTCCAGGTCCTGTTTATTGCCACACTGATTTACCAAAAAGCCTTCTAGAATCAGTGATCTGGTGAGAAATCTACATGTAGTTTCAGTCTTTGGTATTGTGTCCACCTCCAGCTTCTGTGCAGGGTTGTTTTGATGAGGAAATTTGGTCACTTCAATGGGAGAAACTGAAGGCCCTTTTTTTTTTTTTTTTTACCTCAATGGAGTCCCAGCAGTTGAAGTAGGTACAGAGAAGGCTCTAGGGCTGCCTACTGCAGCCCTGGGAAGTGGCCCTCCTGGTCTGACAGCACAGTCCCCTGCCCTTTTATCTCAAGGCTAGCCCAGTGGTCTAATGGAAGGAAGATTGGGATGGGACGTGAGTACTCCCTCCAGAAGGACTGGAGGCCAGCACTGCTCTTGGCCTTCCTGTGTCTTTGTATTTTAGATGTGGCTTCTATAAACAAACTATAAAAACTATAATTAGATTTTATTTTATAATCCATCATGACAAATTTTGTTCATTATTTGGAGTCTTATTCATTTATTTACATGTAACATAATTCCTGATATATTTAGGCTTAAACACATTATTATGTGCTATATGTTTGTCCACCTATTCAAAGAGGTTTTTACTTATTTTCTGCCTTATTTTGTAGTGGCAATGTTGGGGAAGGAGGTTAAATCATGTTTTTCCCCTCTACTAGAATCAAAGTTTAAATAACTAGAAGAACAATCCAAATTCATAATCAACTTTGAGAGATTTGAGCATATCTTTGTAAGAAATTGATAGGGCAAATCAAGAAGGCTATAAAAGATTTGAACAAAACAGTTAACAAAGTTGGCCTGATTGATAAATGTATAGAACACTGCATCACAGACTACTGAACATATGTTCTTTTCCAGCATACATAGGACACTTACATCTACCATATGCTAAGCCCCAGAGCAAGTTTAAATAAATTTAAAATGTTGAAATTATGTGGAGTATATTCTCTGGCCATAGTTTGCCTTTTAAGCTAGAATTAAATTAAAAATAACCAGAGAGTCTTTCTTTTTTTTTTTTTTTAGAGATGGAGTCTCACTTCGTTGCCCTCAGTAGAGTGCTGTGGCATCACAGCTCACAGCGATCTCCAGCTCTTAGGCTTAGGCTATTCTCTTACCTCAGCCTCTAGAGTAGCTGGGACTATAGGCACCCACCATAATGCCCGGCTATTTTTTTCTTGCAGTTTGGCCAGGGCCAGGTTCAAACCTGCCACCCTCAGTATATGGGGCCAGCACCCTAGTCACTGAGCCACAGGCGCCACCCAACCAGAGATTCTTGTATATTCAAACATGAGAATTCTGATGCTAAAATAGCCCATTTGTCAATGAGGAAATTATAATGAAAATTAAAAATACTCAGAACTATAAGAAGGTACCACATATCAAAACTTATAGGATAAAGCTAAATCAGTACTTAGAAATATATAGGCATAAATGAGTATGTGAAAAAAGAAAGTCTAAGAATTCACAAGGAGGTACAAATAGAAAAGCAAAGAAAATCCAAAGAGAAGGAAAAGGGGCATGTAAAGATAAGGGCAGACATAACTGAAATAGCATACCTATAAAAGATATAATTAAAAAAAACAAAACTGGCTCAGTGCCACATACACCAAGGCAGGTGGGTTCAAACCTGGCCCGGACCTGCTAAATAACAATGACAACTGCAACAAAAAAATAGCCAGGCATTGTAATGGGTGCCTATAGTCCCAGCTACTTGGGAGACTGAGGCAAGAGAATCGCTTAAGCCCAAAAGTTAGAGGTTGCAGTGAGCTGTGATGCCATGGCACTCTACTAAGGGTGACATAGTGAGACTCTGTCTCAAAAAAAAAAAAAAAAGTTGTTTTTTTAACAAAACTGATATAATTGATTAGCCTGTGGTGAAATTCTTCAGTGAGAAAAGAAAGCACAAGTAAGTAGTCTCAGGAGTGAAAAAGGTGACATTACTACAGATGCTACAGGCTATAGGAAAAGAAGGTGATATTATAAGCAACTTTCTGTCAAAAATTTGAAAATTCAGTGTAATTAGAGAACTTCCACAAGAACACAGTCTTAAGAATAAATAGAAAACCTAAAATCATTGCATACTATTTTTAAAAATGGCATCAGTGATCAGATATCTTCCCACAAAAGAAACCATAGGCCCAGAAGACTGCATTGGTAAGTTCTACCCTGCATTTTAAGAAGAAATTATTTCAACAGTACACAAACTATTATAGAGAATGGAAGAATTTGGAACACTCTTTGATTCATTTTATAAAAGTAAAAAATCTTGGTATACCAAGTTTTGGTATAACCTTGAAACCAAAACTTGAGGACAGTATAAGAGAAGACAATCACATGTTAATCTCCAAAAATGTACATAGAAGCAAAAATCCTCAACAAAATATTAGCACACAATCCAGCAATATATAAAAAGAGTAAAATATCACGACCAAGTTGGGTTTATCTTTGAGGTTCAAGAATAGTTTTCACATTTGAAAATCACTAGTGGTAACCCACCACAGTAATAGATTAAAAGAGAAAACTCATGATATCAATAGCTGCAGAAAGATCATTAGGTAAGATGCAACATCTATAAATTTTAAGCAAACTAGGTTGAGAAAGGAAATTCTTTAATTTGATAAAGATTACCCCACCAAAAAATCTTATGGCAAATATAATATTTAATGGTATCATATTGAAGTGTTTACTCAGAATGGATGTGCTAGCCGGGTAAGGCAAGGAAAAAAATATAAGAAAGGAGGATCCTAAAAGAAGGCGTGACAGAGAAATTACCAGGTGATACGACTATACAGAGGAAATTGAAAGGAATTTATAGATAAACTGCAAAACAAGTGTTTGCGAGGTAACTGGTTAAAAACTAATATGCTAAAACTAAGTTATATTTGTGTGTAGCAACAACCAGCAGTTAGAAAATCAAAATTGACTAAAAATTTTCATTTGTAGTAACAAAAATCTCAAGAATCTAGGAATAAATCCACAAAAGATTTGTGTGGAAATTTTATGACTTCTTTCATTCCTTAACCCTCACAGTCACTTAGGTTTTTTCATCGTATGAATGAGGGGGCTGAAGCACAGAGATGCTAAGAAACTTGCTTAGGGTCACACAGCTGGCAGGCGATGGGGGTGTCCTCTGAGCTGGGGTTGTGTGGCTTCAGAGCAAAGACAGGCTCTAAAGTATTCAGAGCAGGAGTCAAACTGAAAGC